CCTGGGCTCAAGTGATCTGCCTGCCTTGGCCTCCCTAAGTGCTGGGATTACAGGCATGAGCCACTATGCCTAGCTAATGTCTTTATTCTTGAGAGATACATGCTGTCTGAAACTTATTTCAAAAGGTTCAGCAAAAAAAACATTATAAATATGTTAAAACCATACATGGATACACAAACATATATAGAAAGTAAATGTCGCAAAATGTTAACAATGTTTTCATTTTTCACCTAGATGAAGTGTAAACAGGTATTCATTATCTTATTTTTTCTTCTTTCACCTTTTCTGAAGGTTTCAAATGTTTAATAATTAAAATGTTAGGAAAGAATACATACTCAAAAAGCATGTTACAAAGCTGTTTAAAACAGTTTAGGACTGGGCAAGGTGGCTCATGCCTGTAATTCCAGCACTTTGGAAGGCCGAAGTGGGTGGATCACCTGAGGTCCGGAGTTTAAGACCAGCCTGGCCAACATGGTGAAACCCCATCTCTACTAAAAACATACAAAAGTTAGCCAGGCAGAGTGGCTGGCGCCTGTAATCCCAACTATTTGGGAGGCTGAGGCAGGAAAATCACTTGAACCCAGGAGGCAGAGGTTGCAATGAGCCAAGATCGGGCCACTGTACCCCAGCCTAAGTGACAGAATGAGACTCCATCTCAAAAAATAAATCAAAACAAAACAAAAAAACAGTTTAGAAAAACCCTGGAAACTAGATAAATTATGTATTTTTGAATATTAAAAAAGATGTTTTCTACCAATTTTCCCCAAAGCAGGCATATACTTATCTTGCAGGATAACTTAAATATCTGAGAACTTCTGGGAGAGGTTGCTATAAAGTTTCTTTTCCCTCCTACCCAAATTTTATTTGTCTTTAACAAACTGGAATTTGTGTCAGCATATGGGCTTTTCTCTCTGGTAGCTTGAATGTACAATAGCAAAAACATCTGAACTTTACCTTGAATCTTCACAGAGGTCAAGAACGTTAGGGACAGGTACTCCAGCATTTGCAAGGGCTTTCATAATCCTGCCGGGACAAATAAAAATAAACAAAACTGCTGGCTGAATTGATGAGATTTTCTTGAAATTACTTTCCTTTGTTTGTTTGTTTTTGAGACATAGTCTCGCTCTGTCGCCCAAGCAGGATTGCAGTGGCACAATCTCGGTTCACTGCAACCCCCACTGCCTGGGTTCAAGCCATTCTCATGCCTCAGCCTCCTCAGTAGCTGGGATTACAGGTGTACACCACCACGTCTGGCCTGAAATTACTTTTCTGAATTAGAAATGGTACATAAATTAAAATGAAATTCTAAAAAATATTCAACTGAAAGAACAAAGAAAGAACAAAAAAACAAATGGGACCAACAAAAAACCAATGGTGAAACTGTAGACCTAAATCAAACATATCAATAATTCCATTAAATTCAATAGATTGATAGATTCTAATTAAAAGACAGAAGTTGGCTGACATGATGGCTCATGCAAGTAATCTCAGCACTTTGGGAGCCTGATAGGGAGGACTGCTTGAGCTCAGGAGTTCAAGACAAGGCTGGCCAACATGGTGAAACCGTCTCAACTAAAATTACAAAAAGTAGTCATGCATGGTGATGCGCACCTGTAATCCCAGCTACTTGGGAAGCTGAGGCATAAGAATTGCCTGAACCCAGGAGGTGGAGATTATAGTGAGCCAAGACTGCGCCACTGTACCCTGGCCTGGGTGACAGAGCAAGACTCCATCTCAATAAATAAATAAATAAATGAAATTAAATTAAAATAAAAGACAGAAGTTTTCAGCCTGGGCAGAAAAGGGTGACCTAATTATCTGATGTCTACAAGAGATATGCCAAAATATATAAACATAGATAGTGTAAGGCCGGTTGCCTCGCCGGGAGCTCGGACACGCCCATCTTTCTCCATGCCTGAAAATTACGTCACCAGAATCTGCACTCATAAACTCTGCACTCGGCACCAACGCCCACTTCTGCACTCCACACCAGAATCTGTACTCAACACTAAACTCTGCACTCGGCACCAAGGCCCACCTCTGCACTCCACACCAGAATCTGTACTCAACACTAAACTCTGCATTCGGCACCAACGCCCACCTCTGCACTCCACACCAAAATCTGCACTCAACACTAAACTCTGCACTCGGCCAGCCGTTGGAAAACCCGCCAAAACCTGCCCAATAGCATTTTGCCCTGTTCAGCCCGCTCACTGGAAATCCCACCTACCTATCAATAGCAGCTTGCTCCATCCACATCCTGTTTCTCCTCAGCCAATCAAAACGCTTTCACTCCCTATAAAACCCCACGCCCTAGAGGAGTCAGGTGTGACTTCTCTGGCCCCTTTCCCTGGGACCACAGAACCTCGTCCGGGAGTTAAATAAATTGGCATTTACTTTTCTTGTGCTGGCCTCAGTTTCCTCATTTTAAACTTGGCAATAAACTTCACAAGAATAACCCTTACAGACAGGTTGCAAAAAAAAAAAACAAAAAAGGATGGAAATGGAAGCATTATGCAATCACTCAGCATAAGAAAGCTGGTTGGCTACTTTAATATCAGATAAAGCAGGCTTAATGACAGAGTACTACCAGAGACAAAGAGGGATATCTGAAAATGATACAACTGCAAGTTCATTAGAAAGATATTACAATCATAAAAACACACGTACTAAACAACAGAGCTTCGAAATATATTGAGTAAAAATGATTAGAATTAAAGAGAAAAAAATAGAGAAATCCACAAGTCTTAGTTGAGATTCTAACACTCCTTTCTCAATAGTGACAGAATTAGATAAAAATAGATTATCTAAAGACATATATCTGAACCCACTGCCAACCAACTTGACCTGATAGACATTTATATATCATTCACTCAGCAATTGCAAAATATACATTATTTTAAAGTAAACACAATATGTTCACCAACGTAAGTCATGTGCTGGTCTATAAAATAAATCTCAATAAATATTGAAATCCAACCTAGCACGGTGGCTCACACCTGTAATCCCAACATTTTGGGAGGCTGAGGCAGGCAGATCATCTGAGGTCAGGAGTTCGATACCAATGTGGCCAACACAGCAAAACCCCATCTCTACTAAAAATACAAAACTTAGCCAGGCATGGTGGCTCACACCTGCAATTCCACCTACTTGGGAGGCTGAGGCAGGAGAAACGCTTGAACCCAGGAAGCAGAAGTTACAGTGAGCCGAGCTCATGCGACTGCAATCCAGCCTGGGCGAAAAGAGCAAAACTTCATCTCAAAAAATAACAAACACAAAATTGATATCTTGCAGAGTATTTATCAGACTTCAATGGAATTAATATCTAGAAAAAAATCCCAAATCTTTGAAAATTAAACAATGTACTTTTTTTCTTTTTTTTCTTCTTTTTTTTTTTTTTTAAGACAATCTTGCTATGTTGCCCAGGTTGGAGTGCTGTGGCGTGATCTCAGCTCACTGCAATCTCTGCCTCCTGGGTTCAAGCAATTATCCTACCTCAGCCTCCTGACTGGCTGGAACTACAGGCATTCACCACCACACCCAGCTTATTTTGTATCTTTAGTAAAGACAGGGTTTTACCATGTTGCCAAGACTGGTCTTGAACTCCTGACCTCAGATGATCCACCTGCCTCGGTCTTCCAAAGTGCCAGGATTATAAGCAGGAGTCACCATGCCCAGCCTGAAAAGTTATACCTTTAAATGCCTGTATTAGAAAAGAAAAACAGCCAGGTGCGGTGGCTCAAGCCTGTAATTCCAGCACTTTGGGAGGCCTAGGCAGGCAGATCATGAGGCCAAGATATGGAGACCATCCTGGCCAACATGGTGAAACCCTGTCTCTACTAAAAATACAAAAATTAGCTTGGCGTGGTGGTGCGCACCTGTAGCCCCGTTACTCAGGGGGCTGAGGCAGGAGAACTGCTTGAACCAGGGAGGTGGAGGTTGCAGTGAGCCAAAATTACGCCACTGTACTCCAGCCTGGAGCCTGGGAATGAAGCGAGACTCTGTCTCAAAAAAAAAAAGAAAGAAAGAAAAGAAAAACAATTTTGCTCCCTAGAATAGAAGATTAAAAAAAAAAGAAAGGAAGAAAGAATTTAAGTTACTGACTTAAGATTACATCTTACTAAAGTAAAAATAAACCCAGAGTAATTAGATGAAAGGGAATAAAAATAGCAGAAATAAAATAAAAAACGAACAATAGTCCGGGCGTGGTGGCTCATGTCTGTAATCCAAGCACTTTGGAGGCCAAGGCGGGCGGATCACCTGAGGTCGGGAGTTCAAGACCAGCCTGACCAACATGGTGAAACCATGCTTTTTTTCTTTAAAAAAAAAAAAAGAAAAGAAAAGAAATAAACAAACAATAGGGCAGGTGCAATGGCTTATGCCTATAATCCCAGCACCTTGGAAGGCTGAGGCAGGTGAATCACCTGAGGTCAAGAGTTTGAGACCATCCTGGCCAACTTACCTGAACTCTCTCTCTATGGCATGAGCAGATGGAAGGAGTGTCCCTGGGGGCTTCTTCCTCAGAACCAGATCACGATTAGCCAGCCTGATATAGTAAGTTGGATTTGACTGCCCATGACCAAACTGAAGGAGTTCCAATGGGCCTGCAAGTTTGAAAACAAACAAAACTCAAACCGGCCCTGGAGGACAGATCTGAGCAGACATTCTTTCTTTCTAATGAGTTCTGCATTTGGGCTGCAAAATATCTTCGTCTGCCATGCAGTGCAAGGAAAGTACGTCTTCCCTGCCTGCCTGGAGTGACTAAGTCCCAGGGGCATACCCTGCCAACTCAAGTCCAGGATCACATGCCACTACAGTTTGGCAAAGGCCACTCATTTTATTCCACAGTAATTTTCCCACTTTGTGTGAGTGTCAAATTTTGTCCTTCCTGGCAACTCCTGCTCCATGAATAAAAACATGTTCATTCTGTTTATCAAGCACAAACGCAGCCATGGCAACCCATCTTGCCAAATGGAATGCTTTAAGCCTAAGGATGAAAGGTGCCTTTGCATGTCCCTCTGCCTGACACTGCCAGGAAAGCTGAAAGGAATGATGCAGAGGCCTTCAGCCTGACCCAAAGCTGCTTTCATGAGATGCAATTTCCTACCGCACTAGGCTGAATTCTGTAGTTCCCTTGCAGGATCCTGGCTGAGGTAAAACTAATTCATTCTCAGCTCCATAAGAAGACTGAACCCTGGGTGTAGATTGATTTCACTTGGTTAGAAGAGCAGGCAAGCAAGGGAAGTCTGCCTGAGTTCTTCCCCCTGGCCAGAGTGGATGCCTCATCTGTGCAGAGGCCACTACCAATAATCCAACTGCTGGAAAACATCCTAATGTGAAACTCCATCAAGGAGCAAGTGGGTGAAGCCTTTATCACCTGAGAAAAATGTCTTCTTTGTCCAGGCATGGTGGCTCATGCCTGTAATCCCAGCACTTCGGGAGGCCAAGACAAGTGGATCACCTGAGGTCAGCAGTTTGAGACCAGCCTGACCAATAAGGCGAAACCCTGTCTATACTAAAAACACAAAAATTAGCTGGGCGTGGTAGAAGGTGCCTGAAATCCCAGTTACATGGGAGGCTGAGGCAGGAGAATCACTAGAACGCAGGAGGTGGAGGATTCGGTGAGCTGAGATAGCGACATTGTACTCCAGCCTGGGCAACAAGAGCGAAACTCCGTCTCAAAAAAATTAAATTAAGGTGGGGTGCAGTGGCTCATGCCAGTAACCCCAGCACTTTGGGAGGCTAAAGCAGGAGGATCACCTGAGGTCAGGAGTTTGAGACCAGCCGGGCCAACAAGGCAAAACCTCATCTGTACTTAAAATACAAAAATTAGTCAGGTGTGGTAGCAGGTACCTGTAATCCCAGCTATTCAGGAGGCTGAAGCAGGAGAATCACTTGAACCCGGGAGGCAGAGGTTGCAGTTAGCTGAGACTGTGCCACTGCACTACCGCCTGGGGGAAAAGAACGAGACTTCATTAAAAAAAAAAAAAAATTAAACAATTTTTTTAAGTCTCCTTTTTTGTTTTGTTTTTGAGATGGAATCTTGCTCTGTCATTCAGCTGGAGTGCAGTGGCTTGATCTTGGCTCACTGCAACCTCCACCTCGGTGCCCAAGGAATTCTCCTGCCTCAGCCTCCTGAGTAGCTGGGACTACAGGCATGCACCACCATGCCTGGCTCATTTTTTTGTATTTTTAGTAGAAATGGGGTTTCACCATGTTGACCAGGCTGATCTTGAACCCCTGACCTCAGGTGATCTGCCCTCCTCAGCCTCCCAAAGTGCTACAATTACAGGCATAAGCCACTGCACCCAGCTCTTTTTTTTTTTTAAGGACAGTCTTGTTCTGTCACCCAGGCTGCAGTGCAGCAGCAGAATCAGAGTTCATGCAGCCCCAAATTCCTGGAGTCAAGTGATCTTCCTGCCTTGGCCTCTAAAGTAGCTGGGATTACAGGCATATGCCACTATGCCCAGCTAATTTTATTTTTATTTTTGTAGAGATAGGGTCTTGCTATGTTGCCCAGGCTGGTCTTGAACTCGTGGGCTCAAGTGATCCTTCTGCCTTAGCCTCCCAAAGCACTGGGATTATGGACATGAGCCACTGTACCTGGCCAATGCAACCTTTTTTTTTTTGAGACAGAGTCTCTCTCTGTTGCCCAGGCTGGAGTGCAGTGGCATGATCATGGCTCACTGCAATGTCCACCTCCTGGGTTCAAGTGATTCTTGTGCCTCAGTCTCCAGAGCAGCTGGGACTATAGTTGTGCACCACCACAACCAGCTAATTTTTGTATTTTTAGTCGTGACAAGGTTTCACCATGTTGGTCAGAATGGTTTTGAACTCTTGGCCTTAAGCGATCTCCCTGCCTTGGCCTCCCCAAATGCTGGAATTACAGGAGTGAGCCACCACACCCTGGCCACCAATGCAATTTCTTTTTTTTTTTTTTTTTTCCCCAAGATGGAGGGTTGCTCTGTTGCCCAGGCTAGAATGCAGTGGCATGACCTCAGCTCACTGTAGCCTCTGCCTCTCGGGTTCAAGCGATTCTCCTGCCTCAGCCTCCCGAGTAGCTGGGATTACAGGTGCCCACCACCACACCCGGCTAATTTTTGTATTTTTAGTAGAGACAGGGTTTCACCATGTTGACTAGGCTGGTCCAAACTCCTGACCTCGTGATCCAACTGCCTTGGCCTCCCAAAGTGCGGGGATTACAGGCGTGAACCACTGCGCGGGCTGTCCTCTCAAAGCATTAGAAACAATAAAATCCTCTGAGCACATACTGCAGTCCCCAAGTTCCTCTCCTTGTTGAAAGCAGGTAACCACTGCCATACCACACTCTCAGGTGGAAGAGAGGGATAAGTACACTTCTGGAGATCCATAAAAAGGGAAATTAATGCTTTTTCTCAAGCAAAACTGAAAGCAGTGCTCAGCTGCACCAGGCCCAATGGCTATTTTCCTCACTGTATAGCTTCTTTGTCTCCAGTACATTCCATTAGGGTTGAAAAGTGAGAAACAGACTGAAAGCTTCACCTTAGAGAGAGTTACCAAAACACAAAAGAAGCCTACATACCTGTGGTCTGGATACCCAGTAAGTTTTTGAGGTACTTCTCCAAGGAATCTTTCGGAATTTCCATTGTCTTTCTCACAGGCCGAGTGTTTGGAACACCTATGCTCAACGTAAAACCCAAGAGAGCTTCTAATTCCTTCACTGCAGTCTCTGGGTCATTAACCTGGTTTCAGAGAGAATATATATATGCAAATTTTCTGTTGACATTTTCCCCTTCTTTTCACAGGTGTTGAGAATATATATACATATATATTTTTAATTTTACAATTCATGGTAGTACAGGTGTAGAGAATATATATTGAAGAGGTGGCAGCAGTCAACCCTAGCCTCAGGAGCTCCTGTTTTCTAGGAGGGTAGTGCTTTAGAGGAAAATTACTGAGGAAGTCAGTTCTCTGAGGAAGACCTTTTGGACCCAGGATATTTAGCCAATGAGGAAGCAGTAGAATGAGTTTCCTATTCCCATTTAATGCCTAACCACATTGAACTTTCTATTTACAGAGAGAAGCACTGGTCAAGAGTTCACAAAATAGCTAGGCACAATGGTGTGCACCCAGAGTTCCAGCCACTTGGGAAGCTGAGGTGGGAGTTCAAAGCTCTGGGCAACCCAGCAAGACTTCAACTCAAAAAAGATTTCACAGTGGGGCGTGGTGGCTCACACCTGTAATCCTTACACTTTGGGAGGCCAAAGTGGGCAGACTGCCTGGGCTTAGGTGTTTAAGACCAGCCTCGGCAACATGGTGAAACCCCGTCTCTATTAAAATACAAAAAATTGGCCGGGTGTGGTGGTATGTGCCTGTAGTCCCAGCTACTCAGGAGGCTGAGGCATGAGAATTGCTTGAACCCAGGAGGCAGAGGTTGCAGTGAGCCAAGATCATGCCACTGTGTTCCAGCCTGGGTGACAAAATGAAACTCTGTCTCAAAAAAAAAAAAAAAAAAATTCACAATACCCTCTTGTGCCAAGAAGGAAGAAGATAATGCTGCAATATTTGCTCTTTTCCTACAGGCCCTTCAGCTCAATGGTGAAAACTAAACACAGAATAATAGAAGCCAGGTGCCATGGCTCATGCCTGTAATCTCAGCACTTTGAGAGGCCAAGGCATGTGGATCGCTTGAGGAGTTCAAGACCAGCTTGGGCAACACGGCAAAATCTTGTCTCTATAAAAAATACAAAAGTTAGTCGGGTGTAGTGACATACGTCTGTGGTCCCAGCTGCTCAGGAAACTGAGGTAGGAGGATCACTTAAGCCTGGGATGTTGAGGCCACAGTGAGGTGACTGTGCAACTGCACTCTAGCCTGGGTGATACAGTGAGATCCTGTATCAAAAAAAAAGAACAGAAAAAAGATGGCCTGAGACCCCCTTCACATGGCTTCCCGTGCTTCACAGCAGTGAACTGTGTGGCCCGCATGGCTTGTGGCTGCTGGCTTCCACCTAGGGCAGCATCACTAGATCAGGAGGACAGTGTGAATGCCCCACAAAGGTCTTAAGCCTGCCATTCATCTCCTTCAGTATCTTTTTTCTCAAGCTGCCTTCTCAGTACCTGTTTGTCTTGCTTCCCATTGAAAATACAAATAAAGCCTAGGCTCGGTGGCTCACGCCTGCAATCCCGGCACTTTGGGAGGCCAAGGTGGACAGACAACCTGAGAGGAGTTCGAGACCAGCCTGATCAACATGGAGAAACCCCGTCTACTAAAAACACAAAATTAGCCGGTCATGGTGGCATATGACTGTGATCCCAGCTACTCGAGAGGCTGAGGTAGAAGAATCGCTTGAACCCAGGAGGCGGAGGTTGCAGTGAGCCAAGACTGCAGCACTGAGCTCCAGCCTAGGCAAGAGAGCAAGACTCCGTCTCAAAAAAAAAAAAAGACAAAAAATAGCTAGTCACATAGATCCCATAATTAATACAAAATATGATGACTATGGAAATACAAGGGAAACCCAAAGGAAAGCTAGAGCTACAAATGTAAAAAGATTACAGAGAAACGTTGCACTAGTGCATAGGATGGGTTCAAAAAATAGGGATTATTACCTTAATGGTGTGAATACCAAGGCTGGCAGCTGCTTTTAGATTTGGTCCAAGATCATCAAGAAAGATGGACTCGGAGGGCTGCAGACCGAGCCGCTCCAAGCACAGTTTATAGATCCTAGGGTCTGGCTTACAGATCCCTTCCACACAGGACTCCACGATCTGATGGAGGGACAGGAATGAGAGATGAATGCCCCTAAAGGAGGAGCTCACACATGCACACTGGTAAACGTTTTGAAAGGAAAAGCATAAGGAGGAAAGTTGAGATTTATTATAACAAGGAACTTGAGTATTACGATATAAAATGATGTTGCCTTCTTACATTGAATAGTTTGACAATACTGGGTTACAACGTGGAGGCAAACTTGAGAAACCGAAGTGTCTGTTGCAGACACTGTGACCCTGTGCAAACAAGCAAAGCCATGATGGGCCTCGGTGCCATCATCAATAAAATGGGAATAATACTAGTAGTCATCTTACCTATCTTAGCTCAGTAAGTTATGAAACTTGAGTGGGTTCCAAAATGACAAAGTATTTTGCTAATATCACATCTTGGGGCTAAACAGAGCAGAAGAAAAGCTGTACATGTCAGCTTTATGGAAAGTATTTCACCATTTTTTTTTTTTTTTTTCAGAAAGAAGACACTGTTACAGTGTAAAATAAATATGAACTTAGAGTTTATTTCAGAGGTTAAAAACCCATCCATACTCCATGTAGACAAAAATCCCATGAGTGGGCTGACACTGTTCCTGTCATGCTGAGAGGCTCCTGTACTCTGACAACCTTGCTGCAGCTGTGTACCTGATTCGGAATAGGGGGAGGGCGCTGGTAAGGGTTCAGGAGAACTGGGAAAGCTATCTCAGTGTCAGGCTATCTCTGATCCACTGATTCCCCTAAAGTCCTTTTACAGTGTCCCCAGGGCTTAATCTCCTATAGAGTGGGCCCAAGACAGCCACATAGCCTATAACCAATACCCTCTGATCTGCCCTAAGAACAGAACTAAATCTCTGACTCACCATTTGGAATGACCCAAATTCTCCAAAGTCAAGGACAAACCCAATGGCCTCTGCCTCTATCCCACACTTGCATTCTGGGTTGGGTGAGAACTGCCCTTTCAGGTAAATAAATGTCTGGAATAAATTGGACTGTTCTACTTACTCTTGTCTTCTAAGGACCTAAAAGAAGTCTAAGAAGCTACCCTAAAGAACACATGAATAGTGAGAAGCACAGAAGCAGGGTGTCTCAGACACCAATTGATGTAACATATCAGATGGAAGTGGCAGAGCTGTACTGGCTGAGACAAGAGATAAGAGTATGGAGGAAACTGGGGGGGATGCGGCAAAGGTCCAGGAAGCAGACGGCTCCTCTCACCAGGTGAATTAAATTTAGGGGAAGTAAAATAAATTCTTAAGATTTGTTTGACAAGATCTCTAGCTTTCTCTTTCTGTCCTATTTTGCACATGATGACATGAACTTATTCAGGGCTTCTATTACTTTCTTGGCAAACCAGGAACTGTGAGAACAAGGCCAGTGTTTGTCCAAATGTAGATCAGATAAAAATGATTTTAGTTACCAAGGATCTATCCCAGGAAGATGGAGGGGAAGCCTCCTTCTCAAGGTAAGCATGATGGAGGCTGTGTGATAAGAGAAAAGCACGGACAGAATCCGAAGTCCCTTACTGCATCTTGAGATATCTCACCCCAGCTGCATGGCAGAATCACCTGTGCAGCTTTTTCAAAATACACATGCCTGGATCCCAACTAGACATACTCAATGAAAGCCTCCAGGGAAACAGACCTGGCATCTTTACAAACTCCCAGGTCATGCGATCTGTAAGCAGAGTTTAAAATCCTTAATCTCACTGGCCCAACAAATGATACAAATACACCCAGGCATAGGCAGATGTGGGGCTAAGGAAACACGCTACTTCCTGGAGTCTAGCCAAACTAGCTCTTCCAAAGATGGAAAGAATCAGAAAGGGGCTCTGTTAACAAAATGTCCAATACTCGAGTTATCAGAGAAATTTCACCCAATGTGTTCCAAAGGCTACCAAGTACTCTCAGTATATTTGGGGAGCTGCTGTTCCCTTTTGTACTGACTTCGAATATCTATGAAGGAATGGGCCAGGGGAAGGGTCCTTCTGATCCATCACAACTCTAAAAGGTACTGGAAGACCAACTGCCAATCTGGGCTTTGGAGTCTTTAAAGAGAATTATCACTGCTGTTGACTATAAGAGAAAAACAAACATTTTAAAGTACCCAAATACTTTAAAGTATCCAAATACACCAGGCATGGTGGCTCATGCCTGTAATCCCAGCACTTTGAGAGGCCAAGGTGGGTTGAACACTTGAGGTCAGGAGTTAGAGACGGCCAAGCCAACGCAGCAAAATCCCATCTCTAATAATAATAAAAAGCACAAAAACTAGCCAGGTGTGGTGGCATGTACCTGTAGTCCCAGCTACTCAGGAGGCTGAGGCACGAGAATTGCTTGAACCCAGGTGCTGGAGGATGCGGTGAGCCGAGATGGCACCACTGCACTCCAGCCTGGTGACAGAGCAAGACTCCATCTCAAAAACAAACAAACAAACAACAGAAAAAAATTAACCCAGAGTGGTGGTGCATGCCTGTAATCACAGCTACTCAGGAGGCTGAGGTAGGAGAATTGCTTGAGCCTGGAAGGCAAAGGTTGCTGTGAGCCGAGATGGCACCACTGCACTTGAGCCTGGGCAACAGATCAGGACTCAGTGTCAAAAAAAATTAAAAATAGAAATAAATAAATATGGCTCATGTGTGTAATCCCAGCACTTTGGGAGGCCAAGGTGGGCAGATCTCTTGAGGTTGGGAGTTTGAGACCAGCCTGGCCCACATCGTGAAACCCTGTCTCTGCTAAAAACACAAAAAATAGGTGTGGTGGCACACATCTGTAATTCCAGCTACTCAGGAGGCTAAGGCATGAGAATTGCTTGAACCTGGGAGGTGGAGGTTGCAGTGAGCTGAGATCATGCCACTGTACTCCAGCCTGGGCAACAGAGCAAGACTCCATCTCAAAAAAAATATAAATAAATAAGTACAGTACCCAAATATAGCCAAGCATGTCAAAACTACAGGTTTATTGCATGACAGGTTGGGATATACACATGGAGCAGATGGATTTAGTAGGGAAGTAAATCAGGCTGAGGAAGGCAGTCAAGTTTTACTGGACAGCACTGGTCTAGGCATTAATGTCACAGAAATAGAGGGCAACATAACTGGTCTTAGAAGAGGTCAAAGGATCCATTAAGATGTGAGGGGTGATAGAAATGCTTATGTTATATGAAGACTAAGGTTTGAATTTAGAATATAAAGCTGGAGTGTACCAGTTATTAATGCCATTAATGCCTTGCTAAGAGCGCAGTGATATTTTAAAGGGCCTGTTTTCAACCTACCACATTTAAACCTAACTTAGTCAAGCGTCTGAAGGAAAAACTCCCTCACTCAAGACCTGCTGAAGGCAGCATTTAACGTTGCACCCTGAACCAAGGGCACAGATTCTGTTTCAATGGTTTTCAATCAGCTCAAGCTTACCACATCAAACTGTTTCCGGTCCAGAGGCAGAAAGCTTTTCTGGTTGGGAAGATAAAAATTATTGCTCAAGACTGCAGTCTGAAGACCTTCTGCCCGAATTTGAGATATGGCCTCAGTCATCACTGGGAACTGCTTCACTCGCTCACTTGTCAGAAGAGAGAAAAATGACTCCACAGGCACAGAGGTCTTCGACTAAGTATAGGAGAGGGCAGAGGAAAACAGCAATCTTTAAGAGTGAAAACCACTCATGGCCAACAGAAAAAAAAAAATGCTTATTCCTGGTGTCCTTCTACTCTCTGACTACAAAAGCCCAGGCTCATAGCTTGCTGCCTTCAGGAACTGTGTTTCTCAGCCCCTGTGCCCTGATAGAAGGTTTTCAAAAGTTACTTAGGATTAGTTATAGGTTGGACACAGTGGCTCACACCTGCAATCCCGGCACTTTTGGAGGCCGAGGTTGGAGGACTACTTGAGCCCAGGAGTTTCACACCAGCCTGGGCAACAAAGTGAGATTCAAAAAAATTTTTTTTTTAAACTTAGCTGCCAGGCACGGTAGCTCATGCCTGTAATCCCAGCACTTTGGGATGCCAAGGTGGGCAGATCACAAGGTCAAGAGATCGAGACCATCCTGGCCAACATGGTGAAATCCCATCTCTACTAAAAACACAAAAATTAGCTGGGCTTGGTGGCGTGAGCCTACAGTCTCAGCTACTTGGAAGGCTAAGGCAGGAGAACTGCTTGAACCCCGGAGGCAGAGGTTGCAGTGAGCCGAGACTGTGCCACTGCACTCCAGCCTGGCAACAGAGCGAGACTCTGTCTCAAAAAAAAAAAAACTTAGCCAGGCTTAGTGGCACAAAACTGTGGTTCCAGCTACTCAGGAGGCTGGGAGGTTGAGACTGCAGTGAGCTATGATCAAGCCACTGTGCTCCAGCCTGAGCAACAGAGTAGGGAATGGAGCTATTTATATCAGTGTTACAATTAAATGAGTTCTTTATTCTGCTCATGGAGTGCCAGCTGAAAAAAAAAACCCAGCATATCATAAGAAGATACAGTAAACTCTTTATATAATTTAATTTTTAATGACTGAGAAGTCATTTAATGCTTTTTGTATTGCCTCAGCATCACTATTATGAACTTTAGTATATAATCAAATTTTTTTCTTGTTTTGAAATTCAATCCGTGTGGGTTTTGAAAACTCTTCTATTATCACATTTCAAAATCTGCAAAGGCAAATCTACTGTTTATACACACACACATTTGGTAACAGTTTTATTGAAATATAATTCACATGCCATGAAATTCACCTACTTAAGGAGTGCAATTTGATGGTTTTCAATATATTTACAAAGTTGTGCAACCATCACTGCCATCAATTTTAGGACATTTTCATTACTCTAAAGAGCAAATCGGCATGGCGCGGTGGCTCATGCCTATAATCCCAGCACTTTGGGAGGCCAAGGTGGGTGAATCACGAGGTCAAGAGATCGAGACCATCCTGGTCAGCATGGTAAAATCCCATCTCTATTAAAAACATAATAATCGGCCGGGTGCAGTGGCTCACGCTTGTCATCTCAGCACTTTGGGAGGCTGAGGCGGGTGGGTCACCTGAGGTCAGGAATTTGAGACCAGCCTGGCCAACACAGTGAAACCCCATCTCTACTAAAAATTAGCTGGGCATGGTGGCAGGTGCCTGTAATCCCAGCTACTCAGGAGGCTGAGGAGGCGAATCACGTGAACCCGGGAGACGGAGGTTGCAGTGAGCCGAGACTGCACCATTGCACTCTAGCATGGGTAACAGAGAGAGGCTGTGTCTGAAAAAAGAAAAAAAATCATCAGCTGGGCGTGGTGGTGCTCACCAATAGTCCCAGCTACTTGGGAGGCTGGGGCAGGATAATTGCTTGAACCTGGGAGGTGAAGGTTACAGTGAGCCAAGTTCGTACCACTGCACTCCAGCCTAGCAACAGAGTGACATTCCATCTCAAAAAAAAAAAAGGCAAACCGTACCCATTAGCAGTAACTCCTCATTTCTCCCAAAGTCCCCTGTACTAGGAAACCACCAATCTACTTTCCATCTCTATGGATTTGCCTGTTCTGGACAGTTCACGCAGATGGAATTATACATCATGTGGTCTTTTTTGACTGGCTTCTTTCACTTTACATAATATTTTTAAGGTTTACTATTATATACCCATATTATGTTTATAAATATATACATGTATATATATATATAAATTGTAGAAAATATATGCAACACAAAATTTACCATTTTAACCTTTTTTAATTTTTGAGACAGAGTCTCTGTCACCCAGGCTGGAGTGCAGTGATGTGATCTCGATCTTGGCTCACTGCAAACTCTGCCTCCTGGGTTCAAGCAATACTCCTGCCTCAGTCTCCGAAGTAGCTGAAATTACAGGTGTCTGCCACCACACCTGGCTAATTTTTATATTTTTAGTACAGACGGGGTTTCACCATTTTGGTCAGGCTAGTCTTGAACTCCTGACCTCAGGTGATCGGCCCACCTTGGCCTCCCAAAGGCTGGGATTAGAGGCATGAGCCACTACACTCAACTGTTTTTAAGTACACAGTGCAGTGGCATTAAGTCCAGCCATGTTGTCATGCAGCCATCATCATCACCACCATCTACCTACAGAACTTTTCTTACTATATTTTAAATTATATTTCAGTAAAGCTATTGTGGTTACATGAGTTAGTAAAATACAAAGAGCGGGAGAACAATCCAAGATGGCCAATCGCTAACATCTCGGGATTGCAGCTCTCAGTGGAAGCGCAGAGAACTAGAGGACGCCACACTTTCAGACAAATTCTGGTCGCTCATGGAGCAGAAGAACC